CCCTACATTATCATTGATATGCATGAGTTTTCCTGGCAGGGGGCAGTCTAGGTAACAGCACTGAAGGCATGTACAGTTGTATTCTAATCTGACGTGGGGAAAGCATACAGGCAGGCAGTATGTATCAATATGGAGCACTGGGATGTTTAAGAAATGAAATAAAACCTAGTAAAAGTGAATATGGTCCTTACCTGCCTTGTTAACAGTTCCAGCTTGCATGTTACCCATTTTTGTGAAATACATTAAGGAGCCCTTGTAACTTTTCTCCACACCATTCATGTCTGTATGAACACAGAACAGCCAGCAGAACTTTCTGTAGAAGCAGTAGAATCGCTCTGTTTGCTATGTACTGGCACAAGAATACAAAAGCCCATTCTGGTTGGAATGGGAAGAGAATAGGGTTGCCACCTTTGTTAGTTTTTACTGAATTTAAATTTTAGCCAAAACATTCCTAAAGGGCTAAATAGTCAGTTTACACTATTTAGCTTTAAATGCCCTAACTTGAGACCTACTCTAGCCCTGTGGTATCTTCTGATGTTTTCTTAGTGATCTCCTTTGCCTTAACCCTGGCAGGCAGAAAAGCAACTGTAGCATGAACATATATTTTAGACGAACAGGTGCCACAGAACTGCCAAAGGATTGCACCGAGAATTTTGCTTGCTTCAAAATGTAGAAGGCAATGGGGCAACGCTGTTTCAGCTGTACATTGGTATTACCAGTAGCATCTCACTGCCGGGGGGGAGTGATGAGCAAGACCTTGTGAGCAGCTTCTATGCAAATACAGCCGCCATTAGGTGCATGTTAGAAAATTACAGAAATATTGCCGACTCCTGGGATTTCATGACAAATCTTGAAGTTGTTAATAAACCAGCTCTTGGAGTCATGATTACTATTGTATGATCCTCATGGCTGTAATGGGAAACTGGAAAATGTGTCCAAAGTTGACCGAACTGCACCTTGAAGACTCAACGTGTGAAATGCAGGTACAAATAATCCAGTGTTTCTTTTCTTTACCTCTTAGGATTTTTGAACATTTGTGGTTGGCCATACTTCTTTCCCCTTGAAGTTTCCGAGATGCTCCTGAACTATTGAAAACCACAGGAATTGGCCCCTCTGTCATAATGTACCTTCTGCTATCAGGCTGGACCACAGAATTTCCACTTAATGGTCTATGCTCAAGAAGTCAGGTGCAGCTTAGTTTAATAGGGAATGGATAACAAAAATATCTTAAACTGGTCTGCTCACGTTGCCCAGGCAGCCCATACTGTTCTTTTCAGACCGGATACATACTCCTGGGAGACAATGTGCATACTAGATCTAACACAATAAGGACAGTTAGTGTTACTCCTCTTCACTCGTGCCCTTTACACAAACAATTAGTGTGCCTCAGGTGTTGGAGGACTCCACCAAAAAACAAACAAACCAGAGTGTGAAAAAAGGAAATAGGATAGTTACCTAGTATAAGATAGTGTGTATGCAAGAGGGGGAGAAAATGGAGGGGCAAGGTAAGAGAGTCCAAGAGTCACTTATCCTCTGTGATACAAGAGCTAACCTCCAAAGCTTTGCAGAAGTTGCCAGGGCTGTTTGTTGGCTGGGCAGGAAATTGTTTAGGGTGGTCCTTTTGTCCATGGGGTAGGATGAATGCTACCAAGGTGAAGGAGACCCATGGTATCTCCCTGCTGCATACATATACCAGATTTCCTATGATAGCTTTGAGATAATTACATTTTTCTCTTCTCTTAGACTCATGTGAAAATGCAGCCAGCCCTTCCCCACCCCCTCTATCCCACAGAGCAGCGGTTTTCAACTTTTTTAAATTTGTGGACCCCGAAACATTTCAAATGGCGATACATACCCCTTTGAACTGTAAGTGTGGATATTCAGTATTCACATACTTTTGATTGATCATAGTCATCTTTCGCAGACCCCTTAGACATAATCTGCAGATCCCCAGGGATCCACAAACTACAGGTTAAAAACCACTGCCTTAGAGCACTGGTCTTTGTATATCCAATTCCAGGCCAAATATAGATAGGCACCATTTACTAACAGGGCACATCTACACATGTGAATACTCGGGGGTGGGTTTACTCTAGAGTAATTTAGTCCAGAGTAACCCCACCCCGGGCAAGTCTCTACACTTGTGGGGAAGTGGGAGCAAACTTGCTGCTCACAGCAGCAGTCTGCTCCCACCCCTGCTGGCCCTGCACCAGTCACCTGGAGCAGCCAGGGGTAGCTCTAGGCTCCCTCGAGTGCTAGCCCAGGGGCTGGCAGGGAGCACAGGACCAGGAGACAGCTGTCTCCTGGTGGGGGCTGGGAGATTGCTCCCATCCCTGCCCCAGGACCTGCCTGCGGCTGTGGCGGGCTCCGCTATTGGAGCCCAGGCAGGGACAACGTCCTCCTGCCCCGGCAGCAGAGAACTCCCAGCCCCCACTCCGCAACTGCTTGCATTGCAGGGGCTGGGAGATAATTATATCCAGCCCTTGCTCCACAATTATAGAGTAGGGGCTGGGAGTAAGAATCCTCCAGCCCCCGCTCCATGATCACCTCTGTGGGCAGGGTGACATTGTCCCCACCCTGGCTCCAGCAGTGGAGCCCGCCCCAGCAGCTCCTGGGGACAGGGAGCAATCTCCTGCTCCCAGCTGCCTGGGTGCACATTTGCTCCTGGTCAGCCATCTACACATGCTGTACTGCATAGTAATTACTCCCGAGTAAATTTGCTACTTGTATTTATAGGTAGCAAATTTACTCGTGATTAGAGCAAATTACTGCACAGTAAGCATCTGCATATGTAGATGGTGACTGTGCAGTACTTCTGCACAGTAATTTGCTCTAATCTCGAGTAAAGCATTTTATGTAGACGTGCCCACAGTGTACCTGACTACACAGGATTAATTACAGCAAGTCAGACCACTTGGTTCATCAGATCCCTTCTTTTCCCTTCTACTGTGGCTGGGAAGAAGTGATGTGAAGAAGGTGGCAAATGTGTAAGATATAGGGCAATAGAAGCTATAGGAATAAATATACAAAATAAAGAAGGGAAAGGTCAAAAGTAACCATACTGATATGCTCCAGGCCTTTGTAATTCTGTTTACTTCTTTCTGAATGGCTCTTAAAGCAGTCTTAAACTGATCTGCTGCTAACTTTTCCTTCGCCAGCATAAGAAATCCCCTGGCAGAGGTACTGCTTTTGATCATTCTTTCTTGTGTTTGCCTGTACTTTCACAATCACATTTGGTATTTTGCCACTGACACAGCCCCTACTTTTGTTTCTATAAGCAAAGATCAGTTGCATTTAAAATACACCAGAAAAGCAGACCTGTAACTAGCTTTACTAGAATATATATACATATACACACACACACACACATATAGATATACACACACACACACACACACACATATAGATATACATATACACACACACACACACACACATATGCATATTATATATATTTATAAGGCACTATAAAATGTACCATCAGTTCTTGAGGAATTTTTTTAAATCTGTAGAAGTAGATCATATTTCCCCATACCATTTGAAATGTCTAGCCAAGACATTTTTAAGTGTCTCTGTGATACAGGTACACCAGCTGTAAAATAATTCTTTTTTAACAACTCCAGTTATTGTGATAAGATGAACAAAAGTTATTTTGACAGTAATTCTAATACATTTAAGATATAATTGCTCTTCCCTTAAAAGCTATTTTCACCTGCATAAATAGTTCCTAGCTGTGTCTCTCCTTGTTCAAATATTATGTTCCTGAATGTGAAAAGAAACTTGGCCCGCAGAATTAAAAAAGAAAGCAGATAAATTAATGCCAACTCAGGTAATTCTCCATGTCTTATACAGAACATCTTCATAAACCAGGGTGTCTTTACAGAATGTCGAGCCAAATCATGGATTGGTGTCACTCTTGCAGACTCCATGGCAGTTGGGGGAGCTGTGCTGTTTACACCAGCTGAGCATTTAGTCCTTCTATATATAGGCTAGTCTTTATCGTTTAAAGACACTACAGCATACAAGCATGACAGGCATTTACAAAGAACATTCTTGAATGAATCCTCTCTCAATGTAATTAGTCTACATCATGCATATTCCAGCCTCTGAGCTTCCACAGCAGCTGCTGTTGAGGGTTTGGCAACTGTATAAACTATAAATCAGTATCCCACATCTAACAGGCATAATTTCACACACTAGAAACAGAGATGAGTAGAACTGGTTAGACAGCCTGGCATTTTGATACTTCGAAGATGTACAGATCTAGATGTCACGGGTAGGACACTTTAATAGCAATGCCTGTGCTCTGCAGCAATTACCTTAAGACTAATCTTATTTTCTACCCTCTTTAAAGAGCCTTGAAGGAGGTATGTAAGATGCAATTAATTCCTTTTGTGTTTTATCACATGGAGCTTTGCATTTGGATTGACCTTCTTTGTCCCATGCTAGATTACCATATTTTACAGATTTCTACGTTTTGCACATAAGTAGAAGTCAGACCATGAAAGGCGCCAAGAATTTGCAGTACTCATTGCAGACAACAGCAGCTGAAGAAGTACTATGCTGCTTGGTTTGGTCCATGGACCAGGATGCAATCAGTAGGACATTAACAAGGCCTCAAAAAGAGGGTAGAACATCACGAATCCAGACCATATTGGGACAAGAGTCTGATGCATACACACCAGGAAAACTGGACACCTTAAAATACCGAAGTGACTCAAGAGTTTAAAAAATATATATGTATTACGAGAGCCACAACAATTATTACAGACAGAGCTCCACAAAGCCTGCACAGATACATTCCAACAATTCAAGATGGCAAAACAGGTGAAATACAGACCATATAAACATGTCAACATAAACTTCCCATACCGTCCATGTGACAACAACAGTGAATGCCCCCCCTTGCCTCACCAAAAGGCTATATAGTTCAAAACAAACCACATTCCAATTTCCACATTATTTAGGCTTTTTAGGAGTACAGCCATCATCCAAGGAGCCTCCCTCTTCCCCCTGCCCCAGATACAATTGTCTTCAGCAAAGTTTGTGTAACCCTTGGTTTGTGTTTTTGAAATAACAACATAAAGAAAAACGTTTGCCACACATCCGATTTTAGCCCCTGAAGCAGAGGTCTGAGCCACTTTTACTGCTGAGGTCAACCAAAATAAATAACTTGATTTTTTTTTTTAATTTAAAAGGAAAATACAAACTTGTGATAGTTGTATGCTTCTTGTTATCAATTCCCTTGATAATGCAAGACTTAGAGATTTCTTTAATACAAATTCTCATGGGGTGATGCATCTCAAATGTTGTTAGCCATCTGCATGAAAATAATCAGTCCCAAGAATTTTTGCTTCTGAGAATATAAAAACTTTGCTCACTCCTAAGTTATTTCTGCATCTAGTTTTCGACATACAGGGCCAAATGCCACCTATAAGCCACAGCAGAATTTGGCCTGGCATTTGAAATTCATTGCTATTACAGCTTTCCTATTAAGCCAACACACAAAGAAATAAAATAGGAAAATATTAAGGCTTCAAGTAAAAACATCTCCTCTCTCACCCACCCATGGAGTAAGGTATATTTAATTTCATATTCATCTATATATTGTACAATTAATTGTATCAACATCTGACTCTTTCAAGACAGACTGTACTAATATGAAACTGAGTATTACATGAAAGTGAACAAACAGTGAAGCGATGCTAATAATCATCTGATATACAATGAAAACTGACGCATAAACTAAATGAAAACCACTGGTGTTTTTTTTAAATAACTAATAGGCTTAATATACAACTCACAGCTAAAAATAAAAACCTAATCAAAAGATTTAAGACTTTCGAAATATGTGTTAAGCAAGAAAAAAAAAAAAAGAGCTACTTTACAAAATGTTAAACCTGCACCAGAGTTTTCTGTTAGGACTGAATGGACTGGATCCTTAGCTGCAGGAAATTGGTGTGGGCCGAATCAATGTAAACAAAGCAGCACCAATTTACATCAGCAGAGGAGATGGCCCTTAGTGCTAATAAAAATAGAAAAATAGTGGGTAAAAGCAGTAATTTCTTGATAATGCAGAGGCTGTCTGAAGGACATTAACTGTGGCAATCTTGTAAAGGTGACAGGGGGCTAGATCCTGCCACTGGAACATGCAAGCCAGCGCTGGAGCTCCTGTGGATTCACCTGGGGGACCAGAGCCTTAGATGGGAACAGGTGCCCTGCAATCCTATGGTAACTGTTCTGCATAGATTCCTATTTCCAGGAAGACTGGAATAATTTGCTCTAGCCTCCAGGCCATTTGTGCTACTCTTAGTCTTTATGCAAGCCTCAAAGAAGAATTTTGGTACTATCATTAGCCTATGAATATGCCGGATGAATTTCAATTCTGCTCTTCACAAAACTTATGTAGAATTTGCATCTGAATCTAATTATCCCATGTATTTATTTTTTCTTCATCTTCCTGCCTGAGATATACCAAAATAACACTGGCTGCAAGGGCTTTAAAAGGTTTATACAGAGAGTGCTATGTTTAGTTTTATTGGACAATCCTTGCCCGTGAGCTTATATAGCAATTTCAAAGGCCCTTTTGCCCTTCAGCTCTTCCATGGACTTTTCTACTTTTCACTGTAATTGTAAAAATGTCACAGAGATGCAGATTTTTAATGCTAATGGGTACAATATTAAAGGTTTGCTTGCATAGCTTGCTTTATAACCCTACAGAGTGAAATTTGTCCCAATACAGATTAGCAACACAATGTACGTGCCATTTAGCTCCTACATTGAGGGCTTCAGTGTGAGTAAATATGCCTGTAGAGATATGTAAAGCCTTGTACTAATCCTGTGTGCAGGATTGATTTTCACCACATGTGGAGTGGAGTTACATTCAGATTGGAATCGAAAATTAGTAGAAACTGAAGGTGGAAGGAAGCTCTCAGGTTATCTGGTCCAGCCCCGTGCCAGTGCAAGATTGCAATTTATCAAAAACTTTCAACTGTTTTGACTAGTTCAGTTTTAAAAGTTCCAAGTGGTCATGCTTCCAGTACCCTGCCTTGGAAGACTACTCCACAGCCCTTTCCCCTGTTAGTCATTTTTTTTCCCTTTTAACTTAACCCATTTACTACCAGTGATAACCCCATGTTTCACCTTTGGTTTTACATCCATTAAGTTAAAAATACGTAAACATATCAAACCCACTTCCCATAATCATTGCTTAATTAATGACACAGTCTAGCCCTTTTAATCTTCTTGTGAACCTGCCTCTCCAGTTCTGTTTATAGTTGCTGTTCCCATTTGAGCACGATCCAATTTGCCAGCATCTTTTTGGAAATAAAGTGCCTGGAACTAAAGGTGATATTCTAGACACGATTGTACCAAAGATGTTTAGAAGAGCAATTGCTTCTCTGCTCTGTGATATCCCTGTTGTACGCCATTCAAAAAGTCACCAGGCCTTTTCTGTCGTATTGACTGCAAACCTGTATCTGGTTGTCTGTCCACTATCACAATACTGCTTTTCCGATTCCTCTCTTCAAATGATGCAGAAGCACGATTGATCCCACGATGCTTTCCATCTTCTCCACACGAGGGCTGGTTGACCAAGGAGAGACTAAGCAGATATTGTGGGAGGTATCAAGATTTATCAAATCAAGAGAGAAGTGTTAAGCAAGGCAAAGCCAACAACAACATTTCTCAAGGAACAATAAATCTTGATGTTAATGAAAACAATTAGCTACATAGCTATATACATAAGTATATGTATTTAGGGATAAACAAATTCTGAATCTCTGTCAATATCTGGAAATCTTCCCTTTTTAAACATAAACTGCAAAGGAGGCATTATTAAAACTCTGAAGGGAGATGAATTTAGATGTCCAGCAGAAACCTTTTACCGGAAAAAACAGCCAAGAAACAGAGATTTCATATGCTATCGGACTGGCTCAGAGGTAAGTAATCATTCCATCTGACTTCAGCTGCAGTCATTCAGGATATTCTTAATTGCATATATGATCTTCCCAGTTAACAGTGCTCCAGATCTCTGTATTACAAATCTCTAAAGGTGGTTAAAAATGGATTTGTCACAAAATTGGTTTACCCAGAACCTGTACACTAGCTTTTCTTTTGGTTCTTAAAATAATGTTGCTTTTAAACCTATTAAGGTAAGCAATGGTTTCTAGGGACAGAAGAAGAAGGCCCCAGATAACTCAGTGGACTTTACTGATACTGAAAAATTCGGTTCAACACTGAGGGCTGGTGGGAACACACTAGTCATTAGGCAGGCAACAAACTTATAACCTCTAAGCATGTGCTTGGCTCCATCACACGCACTGGATATTCAACAGATCACGATAACCTTGCTGCAAGGCTTTATACACTGCACCAGTGCAAGACAATAAACCACATTACTGCCTAAATTCAATAGGCAAAAATGAGGGAGGGAGGCAGTCTCTGGCTATTCAAAATTTAGTTTTCCATTCAAACATTTCTTTCCTTATACACTTGGTTCTCTGAGTACAAGAACCATTAAAAACAGAGAGAACCACAGAGAAGAATAGAAAATCCTTACTTATGTGGCAGTCCTGTTTCACGAGACACAAACACGCGCACACAGGATTTCACACACAGGAAGGCGAATGACTGACAGTGAGAAGCTGTTGTTATCCTTTCTCTCCTCCTGAACCCGAGTCAGAGCAGAGAGACTTGAAAACACTACATGAGGTTTGAGGGCTGCTGCACTCCTGCCCTGTTCCACTGAAGGAGGAGTAATAACGCCGACATTAATGCTTGGAGGACAAATGGCAGTTCTCACACACGCAGACTGTGAAACTTGGGAAGCCTGGCTTCCGTGTCCATAGGAAGAAGCAGTCAGGCCTCTAGCTCCAAAGAGACTCTGCTGGCCAGAAAAGTTGGGGGTATGGGTGGGGAAAATATAGTGACCCCATATTAAGTGTACTATATCACAGCACAACTTCTACACAACCGGTTTGTGTGACAGACAAGTGCACGATGGCTTTTTCGCTCTCTTTCATGAAAGAAATAATCTCTCTGGTTGTGGTGCTAGGTGATAGCCAGTTCCCGACCGTCAGTTTGAGAGTGTCTGATGGACTGTACAGTTCTGTTCCCTCCCCGCAGCTGGGTTTTGGCCAAAAAAAAAAAAAAAAAAAAAAAAGATGAGGACAACAATTAAAAGGACACTGGCAGCAGCTGCTCCTTTGCTGTTGTTGTTGAGTCTTCACAGTGCACCTAGCTTCATGGCTGGCTTAGTGGATGGCTCTTTTATTTTATTTTACACTGAAATTTCATAGGTTGTTCCACCAACTCCAGATACCTTCTTAACGTTTGAGTGTCTAGCAGGACTGACTGGGGTCCCTTGGGAACTAGATGTTGAACCCAGTCGACAATCTGCCCTGGAAATTCCTTTTGGCTGTCCATTTATTTTACTGTGAGGTGTCTTCATCTGCATGTCCTCCCTGCATCAAAATACATACAAAGAGATCTAGAGTTAGTGACCAAAGGAATGAAAGTCAGATACCGTTCTTCCGGACAGCTATTGTCCTTTTTACCTTATGTCCTGATGTAGTGAGCAGTTAAGCTGACTCCACTGTGGTTAGTGGGCCCGATGCAAAATCCACTGGCATCGTCTCACCTTGGATCACTGGATCAGGCCCAGTGGAATTACTCACATGCCTAAAGTTAAGCACCAGCCAAAGTGCTTGGCTGAACCAGACTGCATTGCTTTTTTGAAAGCTCTCATTCTCCATTGCTGACCTTTACCCAAACTACGTTTTGATTGTATTAAAAAATAAACACTCAGAGAAATCTCTCAGGGGAAGGCAGTAGCAAAACAGTCTCATTAAAAATACAGGATGCTGTTGTTCAGCCTTAAATGTCATAGTAAAGGTAAAGTATAAGCCTCTAGGATCGGCTTGTTAGTGACTGAAGAAGCACATGGAGTGCAAGGCAGAAATTGTAACTTAAAGTTCCTTGACCTGATGCTGTGTTAGCCAGAGCTTGCCTATGCACTTCTTTTACTGTCTTATGGCAGGCTGAGGGGGGCTCTGACTTTGATGCAAGGGCTGCAAGGGCTTCAGGGAGGAACAAGTTATAACTAAGAGTCAGCACAGACTGAGGTGCCCCAGCCCTTTTCCACCACATCTGGAACAGCTGGAAGAGAGTTCCTCCATCAGCTCTACATCTAATATTCCCTTTGCAGGAGGAGGCCCCTCCTGAGCTGGGTTAAATCAATCAGGTTACAATAATGAGTGGTATAGACATGCAGATCACAGAAGCAGCTACGCAGAAGAATCTGGTGCAAAACAATTATGACAAATACAATCTTTATGAAAGAAATAACAGCACTGAAAAAATTAAACTGTTTAAAGGACAGTGTAAATCCCTCATCCATCATAACCAGTTGCCTGCAGGTGAGACTGTAGTGGAGCATGGAGGGAATTTGCTGAAACAAACAAGGTTACTTTCTGCCCAGAGGCAGATTCTCTTATTTGATTGCTCCAAACGTCTGGCCCATCAATCTTGCAGCGCTACCTTTCAGATAGGGATTGCTTTATGGCGAGAGGAAGGCTTAGTCTCCAATACAGCTGCAGTGTGCCTTTACATTTTAAGGAGAAAGCCAACTCATTTCAATGAAGAATGTCAGTTAAGAGAGTCAACGATATTAAAACATGATACTAAAGTAGTTTTTCCTGCCCCCATTTAGTGGCTAGTCTAGGAGAAGAGAGCCAACTGTCAGCCAGCTGCTTTGACTCGCACAGAAAAGAGATGCAACTGGTACTAACTAGACTCCACTGATGGCCTGTGGGTGAGGCTGTCTAACCTGATCCTGTTTATGCTTACAATCCTCGCTGTAAACCAAAATGGAGAAAGAGATTTCTTGCTTAGCTTTCATGAATGTGTTCATTTACAATATGATTTAAAGCCTGTTGATTCTAATGGGAGTTTCCCTATTGACTTCAGCAAGCACAAGAGCCTTCTTGGACTCTTTAGGTCCTATCTCCTTTGCAAAAATGAGCCATATTCTGAAGGTATTTTTAAAATTTGGAATCTTTAAAACCATTTCCTTTCATGCAACCTACTGCCAAGGTGGATGGAGCACAACCATTCTAGACTAGGTTACAGCATAGTATTAAAATTTTAAAGGCCTGGCTAGACAAAGCCCTGGCTGGAATGATCTAGTTGGGGATGGTCCTGCTTTGAGCAGAGGGTTGGACTAGATGTAACCTCCTGAGGTCCCTTCCAACCCTCATTTTCTATGATTCTATTACCTCAATATGAAATCACTGGTATGCACTTATAGCGGCAGTAACTTTGTGTCAGGAAAGGTTTTAATAGGCATACTGGCAGACGATCTGCCAGCCCAGGCAGTTTGCATTAGTTTAGAACATGGCTCCTTTTCAAAGAATCTGATGTTATAGATAGGATTTATTGCACTCAGCTGGTGAGTTTTTGCTTTACCTTGCTGCTATATGTTCCCAAAACAGACTGTCCCCCAAAGGTATTACTCATCTCTCTACTTGCCCAAAGTGTCACTGGGATTTAGGAGCAGAGTTTTATTTAGCAACCAATATGACTGCTCTGCCCTGCAGCTGAAGAAGCAGTTCTAGTATCTCAGGCCAGCTGAACTTCTACTACACATTTAGGCTGCTCCTGCTCCAGAGAACTAAGCCATGCGTAACAGAACCAGCAAGATAGCATGGGGGTAAGCGTCCACGCTGTTGAGTTTTGCCCTTCATTGACACTAGTACTGAACTGCCCACCTGCAGTCTCATTACCCCCCAGTCCCCGTCTCTCAGGCCGCATCAACACATGTACTTTACCGTGAAGTAGATTAATTAGATGCAGAGTAAAGCATCACCGTCTACATATGCAATGGTACTAGGCTGCAGTAAACTAATTAACTAAACTAAACTAATTAACTAAACGAATGCTGCAGTAAGATAGAGACAGTACTATCTTAAGATAGAGACTTTATGGTGATTAGATGCATGTGTAGATGCTGACTGTGGGCAGCCCAGCCAGCCAGGGCTCAGACTCCTGCCTGCCAGCTAGGCACACAACTTTGCACTTTCTGTACCCTTGTGCCCCAGCCCTGCCACCTGACACTACCACCTGGAGCCTGGGGCTGACCCCATATTCCCTGCCAGCCTGGGCCTGCCCTGTTCCAGCTCAAACTCCTGCCGTCCCGGGCACACGTATTGATGCTGCACCTGGGAGTAGTTTACTCCAGCTCAAACTACTCCAGAGTTTATTGCTTTGCATTAATTGCACATGTAGAAGCATCCTCAGGTCCCCACAGCCCTGGCTAGTGAGAGATTTGGGAAGGCACTCGAGAACACTGGGAAATTGTGAGAGGAGTCCCATAAAGTTGTTGGATACTCACCTTATTTTTTCTTTATTTTCACAAAGTGGAGACCAGGTAGAGCTCTTGGTCCTCACCTTTTTTCAGAAGCTCCTGAAGGAACGCAGTCATGAGCTGGCTGCAGCAAGGGTTGCCTTTCTATTTCTGCAGACTATATCACTCGAGTTTCTGGGAGTCTGCACCACGATTAACTGTAGAGCAGTCAGGTATTTGAGGATGATATTCACTGGACACAGTGCTGTGTTGTGGGCTGGGCCATGAACACAGACAAGTGGAACAGAGTTTTTGGGATGAACAGTCATATTCTCTGGGGTAAACAGAGATTAAGTCCAGAGTCTGATCACGGATTTTCTGTGCTGATGCAGCTAAGGCAAGGGGTCTTGTCTGGCTGAAGTCAGACTTTCCATTCTTTATACCATGGTTTGAGAGTTGGGAACAAGAAAACTGGCTTCAGAAACAAGTTTCTGAGATGACTTAAAGCCCAACTTCCCTGATCTTTCAGTAAAAAGTGAATGAAAAAGACTTCTGTTCAGTAGAGGTCAGCAGTGGAACATAAGACCAGAGGAAATGAAACAGTTAAAGGGAAATCAAGGGAACACGTGTTCAGCTGCACATACTGAATAAGTTTATTATTTCCATGAGAATTTTGTTTCTCTGACCCGAGTTTCCTTGATGGACTTTAGCTCAGGATTTTACAGCTGTCCCCTTTTCCTCCACTGGCCTCTTTTTGTTGCTCTCTCCCTGTGAAACAATGGTGCATTAGAGGGAAGCCAGGTAAAGCAGGACGAGTCAGCTATTCCATTCTTCCTTTCCAGTGCACAACTGGATGCCATTTTTGCACCTCCATAATTCTGGCCCTGCCCTAGGCTTGCTCTAAAGTGGACTGACTTAAACTGATATTCTGGGGGACTTCTCAGTGGCAGAGTACAACAGGAGTGCAGTGCCTACCATTTGCTCAGTGTCTAGCACAAGGGGGACCTATTGTAATAGTGAGAATCAAGGAAAGGCTCTGCCCAGAGCTGTCACTCCAGCCAGAGAACGTCTTTTCATGATGTGGGGTCTCTCTAGGTCAGCTACATGCTAAGGGGGAAAATAAGCAATGTTTCCAGCAATGTATGGTCCTTATAGTTGGTTGTTACCTTACCCCCTACACCCGTCGCTCCCTAAATTCTGAAGCCATCTACATTCAGTGCATACAATCCCAGCACCAAATTCTGCTTTGACTTATACCATGTTCCCTCTCACTCAAATCCAGTGGATTGCAAACAGCTGAAATCACCAGCAGACGTGGCCTACATGGTCTAGTTTTTTCTCAGCATGTAGTGCCCGGAGTCTGGAGATCTTTTATGAAATAAGAGAAGGACATTGGGAGAAGGGGATGTCAGTTCTGTCTCCAGTGTTGCTCTCAGAGTTACATCGGGTGGAAAGGGACTTACTAGCACAGACCTCCTCCACAAATGGAGCGTTTCCCTTTGCAAGGCAGAAGTTTGAAACTTGCTGGTTTAGATGAATGGCTTTAGGCACTATGAAGCCACCTAAGGAAGTGGCTCATTTTCAGAGGTACTGCATTCTGTCAGATTTGTCTAATTTCAAATGGATATCCAGGCCTTTTAGGGGAAAGTAATAATACCATTTAAGTAGACTTTCACTTGCTTGAAAATTTCAAATATCTGAGCTGGAACAGATTTACAGACACCATCCTACCCCCTGCCAAGCTGGAAGTGGTATGATCAACAAGATGACAGTGTTACCAAAAGGCAGACACCCAGAACACGCAAAATGCTTATCATGTTGGCATCGCTCTCCTTACTAACAACAATAACAGGAGCCAACATCTCCGGGGATCAAACTGAGGGCAGTCATGGAAGGGAAAACACATAGTTCTTTTAAATAAAATAAACCCCTTAGTTTAATATATGAGAAGAGAGGAAGACTTTCATGGGTGTCTCACTGAAAGTTTGTCCGCTGGCAGAACAGCAAATTATGTTACCAGCTGCAATTCAAGCGTTGGAAAAATGTACACTATTTTTGTGCAGGCCCAATAAAGTCTTCAGTGTTTCAATAGCTTTCCTAATTCGTGAATTAAAACTGAACCGTGATACCTGGAGACTAACTGGAAAGGATGATAAAGTGGACAAAGTGCTGAGAAAACCTCAGCTCCCCGTTGAACAGCATAAGATCTCTCCAAGGTTTGCACAGCTGAAGCAGCTGCAGTCTAGGCTGTGTAACATATTTGCAGGCCTTCAATATCAAGGCACGTATTTTCCCCAAAGAAGAGCGAGAACTACATGGTTCAGAAACCAATGAGAAAGGATCTTCTACCAACTCCAAACCAAGGCTCTTTGTTCATCCATAGGTTGGGTCTGACAAGAGGAGTATTGGTGCTAGCTTCCCAAATGCTGCCCATTAATCGGTCTCTATCCTGTCCTACTGGGAACCACCTCCATAATGGAATTAATTCAGTCTGCATGTCCATTCAGTTCCTGGTCTATCTGCTGAAACTCATCAAGAGGTGATGACTGTGGAGGGCTTAATGGTAAGTTTTATATATTTAAACTCCATCTACTTCGCATTTTTTAAATCCCACTTCATGTCCTATTCCTTGCCTTGTATTTCCCCTTTCTGAGAATTTTTTGCGTAACAGATTTACTGGAATGGATGTTTGTAGGAAGCTGATTTCCAAATGGTAACAGCAAATATTCAAGGAAGCCAGTTTTTAAGTTCTCATGCGCAAATGTTTGAACAGTTAATCATTTAGGGAACAGAAAAAAAATTTGACTCGTCTAACCCATCACATCAACACAGGTCTATCAAATACTCAATCCTTCACAGATAAGCCCTAGTTAATAAGAACACTCCAAAAAGTTTAAATTAAAAAAAAAATCAAAAGCTGAGCACGTCTGTTTTCTGCAGTTAATGGCACACGTATGGAGAAGCGCGCTGTAGCTGGGAACCTTCGATCCCTTAGCCTCCATGTCCAGGTCCCCAGTTAGATGTGGGGCTTTCAAACCAATTCTAAAACAAGGCTCAAATTCATACCTCTGCATCTGCAGCAAGTGCCTTAATTGCTCTGCCACCCTGCCCCTAAAATATTAAACCCTTTCAAATAGCTACGACTGAAGAAGCTACAGTCTATTCAGTACTATGCTAAAATCCACAAGAATTTTAATCCATGTATGAATTATTTGTTGCAAATGGTTATTAGTCCTAGAAAGGAAGAGCCAATGGAAATGGATCCATGTCAAACCTAAAGTGGAGAAGGGTAAGAAAATCAACACTTTAAGCAGTACCTCACGGCAGCAACGTAGAACAATCCAAAAATTGCTGCCCATGCAAGTCAGCTTTTGCAAATTGTTTTAGCTAACTGGCCGACCTGATTTGACTGATAATCGCAATGACTATAGAAGTGTAATATTACAGCCTAACCAACCCAAGAGCGCTTTTGCAAGCAATGCACTTGGGGAGACGAATGAAATGAAAGTAAATCATTTTTTTAAATAAAAAAGAATGGTTTTGGGAATGAGACACTTTCTTCGTTTACTGTTACCACAAATAATTTATGGGACGTAGTAAAATAACACATTTGTAACCTATCATGTGTCATAATACAAGTACGTTTTCACACTGCACTCTTCTCCTTCCCTATGAAAGACCTCAGCTAGCCACTGACAGGTTCCAAGTGGCCACCACTCTCAGTCATTGTACATTACCCTGCATCCAGCGCAATCACTCTACAAGCCTTACTTATACCAAGTAACACCTGAGGCTAGCCCTAGGTTAGAAAGTGGGGGCACATTCTGCCAGTCTCCCCAACATGGGTGACACTGGCAGAATAAGTCCCCAAACCTGTGCATGATTCATTCATTCTATTAAGCACTAGCTAGAGCCTAACTCCACCAGGACTTCACAACTTTGGTTGATTGATTTAAGGCAGGGCCAAACATGACCCGCAGAGCCACTGCATTTGGCCCATGGAGCTCCCTACAGGTTGGGAAATTTGGCAGCGGGGGAACAGAGGCTACCCTCCGCCACTGCCAAATTCCCATAGTCAGATTAGTCCCGGGCCACAACCCCTTCTCCCAGCACAGCGGGGTTTGGGCAGGCCATGCTGTCTTCCCCCTGCCCAGCTGAATCAAGGCTGGGCCACACTCCCTTCCCCCTATGCAGCCAGGTTGGGGCTGGGCCATGCCCATTCCACCTACAGGGCTGGCCTGGGGCTGGGCCATGCCCCCTTTCTTCCACCCAGCTGTATCAGGGCCAGGCCACACCACCTTATCCCATATGGCTGGATGAGGCTGCGCCACACACCCTTCCCCCTGTGAGGTTGGATCAGGTCAGTCTGCACCCAGACCCCCAGCACCGGATCAGGGCCATCAGCCACATCTGGCCTGCAGGCATCCTGGGCACTGCTCATCTGGGCCACCAAGGAAAAAGCAAAGCCCTGAGGAAATAAGCCCCATCCACCTGCTTCCAAGAAATGATGCAGTGATGTGCTTGGAGGGTTTCCAGCATGCTCCAGAGCAGAGGCTTTGTGTGCCCCAAAGCACACACAGTGCCTCATTTCTGGGGTTAAAATCCATGATCTGGGAGTGGTCGATTGGGGCTTTTTTTCAGAGCTGTGACTGTGTAGAGACTCACCCTTAACACCTTTCACATGGTAAAATTTAATTTCACTACCACTGAAGGGGGAAATCCACATCTTGTACCAAGCCAAAATCATGCATATAAAACTGTAAAGGGAATGCTCTACCATAATTGAAACACGTTGCAAAAAGAGGCAAATCCATACCACAGCATTTCATCATGTTAAAACTCCTTGGTCCAACTTATAGCCTAGGAAACGAGAAACGAACACGTGTTTGATGATAATTAGGTTGTTATAAGACTCAGGACTTAAGAGCCACTCACACATAAATCATAATCCTTGTTATTCTCAAGCAAATAAGCAGACTGGGTTCTGCCAGTTAATAACTACTCTTGTACTCAACTGCAAGCAGGATCCTGTTGCTTAGAAGCCATTAAAGCAATCCATACCTTTGTGCTCCTACCGACTGCACCTCTGTAATTTCCACAGTGTTAACAAATGAGACGGCCTTCGGACCTCCATAAGAGGGCGATCTAGGCATCCCCGTAGGAGATGATGGGACCTGGTGGCCTGGTGACTTGTAGGAGCCATTGCTCACCCTGCCCTGTAGGGCCTGATGAGACTGGACATTGTTATTAGCTAAATCAGCTTGAAGGGAAGTTGTGGAAGTCCTTGGTGCCCTTGTCATTGCACTCGAAAGTGAAGACACCGAGGACTGCAGTAAAGGGTTCCTTGTGCTAAAACTGGTAGCAGATATCAGATTGTCTCTAGATCCATATCTCATTGCCATGCTGCGAGGGTCTTCAGACAGCATGCTGACTTGCTGAAGGCTATAAGAGCTAGGGGTGTCATAGACACCAGAGTCTGCAAACACTGAATCTGGGTGCGAGTGGAGGAGCTTCTCCCTTTCTTCCATTTCTTTCCTCTCCTGGATGGAGGCCATGATGGTTTTCGAGAGGTTGTCATAGCGTACTGGAGAGGGGTCCCGTTGATGTGAAGCTGGGCTCCCAAGCACCGGGCTGAAGCTCTGTGGTGGCTGGCGCTGTAGCTCACTCCCCCGGAGATGGCACATTTTGGCTGACAGATATGGTGAATGGTACCCAATGGAGCCAACTGCAGAATGGGCGACGCATTTCCTTCCCGAGGGGGACATAGGATTTAGCAAGCTGTCATAAGAAAGGCTTCCATTTCTGTTGGACAGGGAATTGGGGGAAAAGATGCTTTTGTACGGAGTAGAAGCAGCCCCTTCTGACTTTATTGGGTGAAGGGGCACTTTATCTGTTCCTCTTTTGCTGGCAGACTTCAGGCTCAGGGATCGTGAATTGATGGCAAAGGAGTCTATCTGAATTGGTGAGGACTGATAAGTCTTGTGCAGGGAGCTCTTCCTGTAGTTAGGGATGTCCAGGTTGGGCTCTGATTGGTAATCAAGGCTCCTGCCATCCTCTTCTATCATAACACCTTGACTATGCCCCTCCTGCATGGTGATCTAAAAGAGAGAGGTAAAAGTGAGAAAGGGAAGGACATAGTATATGCAGGGTGGTTTGTGTAGAATAAGAGTGCAGCAAGAACAGAGCTGGAAGTCAGGTTCTCTCAGCCCAGGTATGATGCAGAAACATTACAAGGGCTTGAAAGAGTCCCTTAACCTCTGTGCCTCAGAGTCCTCACCTTCAGCATGGGAATTATGTCAGAGATGAGGAGGATTAATATCTATTGGTTAAGTGTTGGTTGAGTAATATTGATTAAAGTAAATATGCTGAGACATGAGCACTGAATGACCTTTGAAAACAGAGATGACAGGACCCTCCAAATTGTACCCTTGTCAAGGTAGGCCAGATTCTGACCTGACAATAACAACCTTGGAAAACGTTGTCCCTGCAGCTTAGAGATAACGTTTTCCAAGACAAGCTTCTGATTTTTGGACCCTCCATCCGTGGGTGCTTAGCCAGACCCACCTCAGGGTTGCTTTCAGTGGTGCTGAACCTAGTTAGATTCGTGTCAACTTCAACTGAATTCGTGTCAACTTCAACCTCTCAATAGTTCTGACATTCTACTCAAAGCTTGGATTTTGAGCACCTGAATACAAAAGCTGCTTAAGTCAAAAGTAACTTTGGAAGATCTGAAGGTTATGGTCTTGATGCAGCAGTTGAGAAGTCTCTCTTTATTCACTACATGTTTTGAGTAGGATAAAATTCTACTCAAGAAATGTGAACCATATACTGTTTGTATATGCACCAAAACCAGGAAGAAGACCCCTTAATTGTACATGATCACTGTAAAGTGTATGAAAGATGAATTATAATTCTGCTCAGTCTTTAGTTAAAAGCTATTCCCTCCTAAGAAACTGATTTTTGCTTGTCCCATGAGACAGGTTTCACTGTAACTTAAAACGTGATCCCATGAATGCGTAATTGGAATAGCAATCAGGGCCATTTGCCTTTTTTCATTTTTTTAAGGAATGAGAAAAATATGAAAAAGCATAAATGACTACCTCTTTTTTTTGTTAATTTTTACCTCAAAGTTGCATCTTTGAACCGGAAGATAGAAAAATGTGTACAGGACCTCACTACCTTCAGCTGTGTGGAAACAGAGTTGCTTGTTTCAGGAAGAAAGGAATGATGGACTCAGCGAGGAAGAATTGATGAAGTGCCTTGGCATATGCCTCTTCCCTGCAACATGTTCTGCTGTTTTCTTGCTGGTTGTTTTCACTGATTGGGAATGGTGCTAGATGGACAGGCTGAAAAATGGGGATTGCACAGGCAGAAGCAGCACCTCTGCACTTTATGTCTGAAGGGAGACAGCTGTCCCTCCCAACTAGGTGGGTATGGCTTGATAGCCATCTGCAGGCCTCTGAGCCTGCCAGTGGATGCCCATTGTGTACCTGTGTTTATGATGTACACATTTCTTTTCTACCAAGTTACCCCAGATCATGCAACCTCATTTAATGGAGATTGTTCAGCCTAAAATAAATTGTCATGCTAGGGTGGGATCAGTACCAGAAACATAGAGGTTAGAGTCTCTGTACTTCATTACCAATCCCTGGAACCTATAAGGTCTTTGGTGTGATTAGAGTGTCTCATGCTACACATCCTGAATGAACATAAGCTCGCCTTCGGAGGTTATGTTACATGCTGCACCAAGACCTGGATTACTGCCTGTGTTGCACTGTGCTGCTTGCACAGCTCAACACTGCAGGTGAAGTGCTTGCTGACACCTGTAAATATGGTGTTTTGAAATGGCTGGCAAGTCATATGTCAGGTAATAAAGTGAAGATGATGAGATTTTTGGGTACAACCAGCCCTGTGCAGTATGTACGTACTGAAAAGCTCCCTTTCACAAAGCAATCTCTTCATCATTCAGTGGACAGATCCAGAAAGCAAGATTTATCAGTAATTACTGCAGCACAACCAAAACCTTCAGTTCTTAACACTGCTAAAGAATCACTGAGATGGAATTCCTG